CCAAAAAAATCAAGGAAGTGGAGCCCAGTTAGCCCATTGCTCGATGGTAGGGCACTAGCCCAGGCTCTTGCTACCCCTCACCCAATGCCCTAAGTACCAGGCCCCAAAAGCACCCTTCATCCTTCTGTTGAAGTCAGGCAGCCAAAGAGCAAGATACAAGGGGCCAAAAAGAAAGCAAGCCAGGGTGGGGGTTTCAATTCAGTGAGTTGGCCACTGCCTTGGAAGCAGGGAAGGAGGGGGCACATGAGGCTGGGGTCTAACTCCTGCCCCCCCACATTTTTCTGCATTTTGCATCTAATAATCAATTAATACAATGTATAGACAAAGGTGGGACTGCTTCTGCCCATCTGACACTCTCCAGCTTGCTATTTTGACCCCACAATCTTCTTACCTGAGCTGCCTGGGATATCTGGTGTTTTGGAAGCCCTTTCTTGTTTTATGTGGTCACAGGAAAATCATAGGTTTTGTTTTCAAGCAGTTTAGGCTTAGTTTGGTAGTCTATATCACCTGCTTCCAAGCAAAGTGCTCTATTTACCAGACCACAACTCAGGTATTACCCAGACCCTTTTTCAGGCCCCCTCTTGAAGCTGGCCCACTATGCGTTACACCGAATATTAATTGAATAAGATGGGTAAATAGCATTGGAGAACTTTTTTCCCCCTTCCATCCAGGACAACACTCACTTCACTGAGCCATCCCCCCCCTGCCTTGCTCTCTTCTTCCTGATATTACAGATCTCCCTTTCTTGGCTGGACAGAAAGCCAACTTCAAAAGAAAAGCTGAAGAAGGGTCTGTGTCTGCCACTTCCTGGGCCAGTGCCCCAATCACTTAGCTAAAACATGGAAGGTGTAGTGACTGTAGTAGTAAGGGTTAACTCCCTAACTAAAGAGTGAAGTCATCCACAGGAAGGCATCAGTCGACCATTTTGGGTTAGGGGTTAGTTGTTACAATAAAAGCTTAATGAGGACAAAGAGTCTTCCTGCTTCTTCCTAAGATCCAGAATAATACATTGATTACCAGATTCAGTAAATACAGGCATACCTGAATGAGAAGACTAACCAAAAACTTGAATTGTGGAGCGGCAGGCAGCCCTTTGTCTATCTGTCTCTCTAGCTACCTGCTCTCTAACTGACCATCTACAATTTCCCAACTCCCTTAGTCTCCTGTTACAGAGCATCTCTAAACTATAACTCCTCTAATGACCACTAACCATGGTTTTTTGCTTGGATGCAATTTTGGGACTTACCTGGGCAGTCCTATTTTGCCATCCTGCTTCCTGGCCAAAGCATGGCCCTACTGAGCATGCTTAATGGGCCCCTGCACATTGTGCACCCAGGGCTCCATCATGAGCTGCATGTAAATACTGAAGACCTACAGGTATGTGGCTATGCACCAGCCATTTAGGTACATAAGCAAAAAGAATTTAGCCCTGTGTTTCTAGCCCTCAAGACTTCAGAGAAGAGCTTTTATATGTGAACCCTAAAGACTCAAACACCTGAATCTGAATGTATTACTCTTTACATCTTTTCAGGCCAATATGTTGATTTCTGTGGGCCTGACACACAGTTTTTAACCCCTAGGATTGGTAATCCTGCAACCGCGTATAGACTAGGATGGGTTCTATAGAGCCAGTGGTGACTAATGAGTATACAGAAGATTTTCAATTTGGGAGATGCAATTCTTTGACCACCACTGCTTACTTAGTAAAAGTCTCATCCCAAACCACCTTGGAGCTCTGTTTCAGAATACTCCATTTCAGTTTCCCCATTTTTGAAACGGGTACAAGTGCCAGAGAAGAAGGTTGAACTAAGGGTCTAGATGCTAGTCCACAATTCAGAAGACATGGATTCAGTCCTCTCTTCCCCAGACTTCCTCTTTGACCTTGGACAAGTTATTTATGTTTTCAGAACATCATTCTATTCAAGGATGATGTTCAAGTTCGGGGGCTGGACTCGATGATCTTCCGAGGTCCCTTCCAGCCCTGATGATGTCTATGAAGTCCCTGAAAAACCATTAAT